CACATATGAAAATGGCTTTTCTTTATAATTTAAAACATAGCATATAATAGCTTACTAGGAAAAGTTATAGTCTATTTTGCTTTCAAAGTAATTTTGCCATTAAAGGTTCTGGATTGACTTGTTTTTAAACATTTTTCAGATTTTTCTTTTCGTCAACTGTGTTGAATTTGAACTGCATTGTAGTTTGTTGGGGTTTTTTTTTTGCAGAATGTTATTTTCTTTCTGTTCAAACTTGTGACAGATGGCATATGCTTTTGGAACATATATTTTACTTGACTTTGCTTTCGCACTGTTCGTTGTTGAATCTTACGGAGCTTGCATAATCTCCTTGGTCTGTTATGTTTTGTTTTATCATCTTGTGCACTGCAGAATGTGATTTTAATTGTAGCTGGCAGTGTTTTTGCTTTTGAGAGTTATAAGGTTTTATACATGTTTGTGGAAAGGTGCTTGATGTTGCAGTTCATTTACAGTTTCTTTGTAAAGCTTTTCCAGCTGTTTGGATGTTGGAGAGAAGTTGAGATTGTTATATGAAATTACTGACGTGTTGATTTTCAGGTTTATACAGGCACCCCTGGGGCAAAGCCAAATGTGTAGTAACCCATAGCCACTAATCAGAATCCTCCCTGTAAGGTCTGACTTGAGTAGGTAATAAGATGGTTGGAGATGAAGGCACTTTGCAGTCTGAAAAGGTCTTGTGCCCATCTTCAGGCATAAACAAAAGCTGGCCATACAAGCTTAGAGAACGAGAGAAAGTCACCAATTACCCATCTGCACTGAACGTCATGGATAGGGAAATCCCTGCTGCCAGCTAATGTATTCTGTAGCACTGTTGTGAAACTGAACAGCGCCTGCATCCAATCAGATGGCAGGGGATTTTCAGATTGGCACCGTTGACAAAAGCTGGGTGATGTGGGTTCCTGAACATTGCCCTTTACTTAACATATAGTTCTTGCAACTACTGAATCGACTTTTGTCAAGCAGTGTAGTGTCGACAGGGCAATTAAGCAGGACTCGGCTGAAATGCCAGCAGCGTATGGCCAGCATAACTCTTTGGTAGCCTGAGCATTGATATGTTTGCTGTGGAATAGGAAGGAGGAAGACACATGCAGACATCTCTTGTACTAGTTAGAAATGCCTTTGTTTCTCCTCCATTTCTTTCTGGTAGTCTGGGTGGTGTAGGTTCCAGAACATTGCCCTGTGCTTAACATAAAGTCCTTGTAACTACTGAGACTTTAAGGAGATGGCACAGCTTTGCATGCAGTATCTGAACTGGTAGAGACTATTATCTGATACGTCTTCGCATTTTGCTCTTGAGAGTTAGAACATTTGATAACATTAGGACATTGATTTTGACTAAAGCACATTTGCTGAGCCTTGATTGTTTTTTTTGTATGCTGCCTCTTGTAAACTGCCTCCATTCTAAAATATCCAAGAGCCTTCACCTTTATAAGACATTTGATTGGTATAATTGTATAATGATCTGTTTTCAAGTCCTTCTGCAATTAGCGGCTTGTTTACCCACAGCACTGCATAAGCTTGAGTAGGGAGAGTAATATTTTGATAACCTTCGTTCTGCAAAACAGATCTCCGAAACCAAATTAAGTTCTGAAATAAGGTGCACAATAAAGAAATTACATTTCCGGGTGTATCATCATTGCAGATGCAGAAACCGCTGAGTTGGTGTTAGGGGCAGAGTGTGCTATGTGTTGTGGATATTATTACAGGGATAAATGGCCTTTAAATACAAAAAAAGCAAGTATCCTCCAGAGATCAGATCACTCTTTAAATAACCCCTTAGAATATGAATGCCTATTCGCACGGTCTGTAACCAAAAGGGAATGCAAAAAACAGTATTGTTAGCAACATCAAGGATTGCCAACCAAAGAGGTTACTTGAATGACCGGGACAAGCATATAAAAGTAGAAAAAAGTTTAATCAAACAATATCAATATACCATAATTGTGCAACCTGTCATATTTTCATTTAAAACCTTTGACAACATTGTCCGCAAACATCATTCACACTCCCATTCATCCGGATGGGCCCCACACATTGATCAAAGTAGTTACAGCTGTAATTGCATAGACAATAGCATGGGTGTGTAAAAGAGTAACCTCTTTGGTTGGCAATCCTTGATGTTGCTAACAAAACTGTTTTTTGTAAATGGCCTTTACCTATATGTGCCCAAACCCTCATGAACTTTTTAAAGCTGCACTTCAGCAGGTATTAAAAACTACTCATTTATGTATTAATTTACAAAATAATAGCATCCTTTAGGTTAGGGCAGTAATGGGAGCTCTATTGGTTTGCACAGAACTGTTAGTCTAAAGCTGACCAGTAGAAATTGGAAGCACTTTTGTAGCTCCGTACGACGTACGTCCTTGGCAGCGAAAGGGTTAAAAAATATGATTCATTTGTTAAATTTTGTAATAGATAATGGGGTCAAATCGATAATCTTAACAATCGTGGTCACAACAAAAACTAAGGTGCCGGATGGAAATTGTTTCTCAAATGCACAAAATTCTAACCGTAAATGTGGTTTTCGTTCGGGAAACTCCATTCATTCTAAAATCAAAAGAAATTTCCAAAGACATTCTACAAGTCTCTGATGTCATTATCAAATGTCCAGATTTTTAATATGAATGTTTGTGCCAAAACCTACCGGTGTATAGCCAGCTTTACTCAAAACATGTTTATAGAAGGGGAGATGACATCCTGCTGCTGCTCCTTTAGGGCCGGTCAGTGGGCTGTTCTTATGTCAAACAGGTTTTACATTCCCATGCAAGTTTATCTGAATGCAAAACCTGTTTAAATCAGCTCCAATGAAGGTCAGAAGGAGGTCAACTGCAGGTCTAATGCACCTAGCAGTGAATTCTGGAAAATCTCAGATGCTTCTCAAACTGATGTAATTGACACAGACCCTCATTTTCCATTCACAGTTTAGCACCTGTACCTAACTGTATTGCTTACTGTAGTATAATCTGCAAAGGTCTGGCAGGGAGAATGGGTGGGGTGGCTTGAATCACAAGACTTACTAAACAGAACTTGAAAAGGTAAATTAGTTTACATGTATTTCAGTTTTGGGGATGTGTTGCCATACTAACATGTTTTAGGCACTGGGGTGCTTAAGGGAATTGTTTAGGTAGCGTTGAGTAAAACCACAAAAATTGTCTTTTACAATCTGGTGAGCAGGCAGGTGACCCAAGATGCTTCACAACAACAAGAGGAAATAATGGATGGCTGAACAGAATTACACATACAGTATATTAGTAATTATGGAGTTGCCAGGACAGCTATTATCAAGTCACTATTGAGGCTGCCATCCAGCTTTATTGATGGCTACTGCCCAATTCCTTGTTCCATGCTAGGCAGAACAGTATGTGTAATGCTGCACATGAATGCTCTGGCCCGGCACTAGGATTGCTTCTTGCAGCCCCCAACACTGGATTGGAACATCAGCTTAGACAGGCTACAACTGTCCTCACAAACTTCTCTGAAGCCCAGCAGATTGCAGATTATGGCTTCTGCAGGACCTGTACTCATTGTAAAGAAGATCTGACCAGTGTTTCCAGAGATGGTTCCAAGACTGAGGATAACAATACAAATGCATACATAACCTAACATAACTTAAAGTGACACTAGACTCAGGAGTTAAAGCTTAAAAATGCATTCAAGTACCTTTTTAACTATTAACAAAAATGTATCGTATTTGTGCATCACTCAGATGTAGATCCTCAAATCATCTCTGAATTCATATTGACACTGTTTTTCCTTCTGGAGGGTGGCTACATGTGTTCCCCATGGCCCCTGTGTGTGTTGTACAGTAGCTACCGCTTCAATCTCACTCCTGTGATGGACAACAATCTCAATACAAATTAGCTATCTAAAGCTAAGCTTTAGCTAACTAAAAGTGAGCTTCTAGTCCATCACGGGAGCAAGCTTGGAGAGGTGACTACTTTACAACACACACGGGGTCCATGGGGAACAAAAGTAGCCACCCTCCAGAAGGAAGGAGAGTGTCAGCACCAATTCAGAGATGATTTGAGGATCTACAGCCAAGTGATACACAAATAAGATACATTGTTATTAATAGTTAAGGTACTTGAATTAATTTTTAGGATGTAACTCCTGAGTTTAGTGTCACTTTAACTAAACAAAGCTGATATAAGTTAATGTCATACACAGCACAAAGTTCTTACATCACCCTACTGCTTGAAACCAATGATATACGCCTAAATTCCCTTTTAATGTCCATGTTTCAGTGGTATTGTTTCTACATTGGTTTATTTCAATTTTACGCTCTATATTTTGTATCCAAGTACTGGATACTACCGGGACCCTGGATATTACATGACACTAACAGTTTTAAAGAGTCAGACCAC